CCTCGTTCGTTGCTTAACGAACAACGTTTATTAGGTTGCAACAGAACAAGACAACATTGACCCAGTTTCACGTATCCAAACTATACGGATTTAACTCAATAAACGTGTACTACTTGTCTCAATGTTATTTTCATGTCAAGATGTTTAGTAAATAGAAATTGTTCGTACAAACACATCAAATTGCCGTGGGGTGGCGGCATTAGAGTATCCACCAACCTGTATGGTCCCATACGTGAGGTAAGAGATGACGACAGGAAATATAGAAAAATCTAACTTTTTTATAGGATAAGGTGACAAACAAGCACACAGTCCACTGATGGTAAGTGGTTTCTGCGGCCCGTGGACATCTACATCTATCCTCGATTACAAATCAAAATGCAGATGCGTTGTCACCCGTGAGGATTAAGATGGAATGCGTCGTTTCCAGTAAAAAGAGTCTCCGGTTCTCTACACTCACCATACGAAACACAGCAGCATTAAGCTACTATTTTACACTGGTATTCTGTGAGAGAGTAGTCCTTCCCCTGTCGAGCCGGCTCATTCTTACTACAACTATACTACTAATATAACTGCAGCATGGCTCTACCACGTACAGCACCTGCCTCCGACAGGTGGTGATACATCCGACGATAATGACCTGTGACAGATCTAGTTTGGGTCTGTAATCGCCAATTCGCCTTTCAAGCGTGGCAATTATTGTAAACCCTATAACAATGGGAAACGGCGATCTCTAAAAATTTCTGTTAAAATTTACTTGGAAAATGGAATCATAACTGTCCTCGGTATATAAAATCTACTTAAAACAGGACAGATTCTTACGAAATACCAGCGCCAAATTACATTTGGAGTTCAAATAGGAAAGGATCACGCTCGCACAGAATACTAGCTTGAAATAGCAACATAACACTGCTGTGTTTCGGATTCTACCTAGCCGTTCCCAGTGACAACGCATCTACATTTTGATTGTGAATCGATCAGATGGACCGAGTGCTCGAATTTCATTAACGTTTCTATAAAAAAAAAGTTTCATACTCGTTTATTATAGGTAACGAAGTGTCTCTTTCCTTCTTAAATCAATGTACCAGCTTCATAATAATTCTTTTTATAAAAAGGATGAACGAACTATGAACTTACTTCTCACCCTCCTAAGGATAATAGAATGTAATTACTAAAAAAGATCATTTTAACTTATAATGGGTAAAAAAAATTTACCGATTGTACAAAATCATTGTAAACCGATTCTGACGATTTTCATATTGACTAGACGAGGGAAGTCCTATTTAAAAATTGAAGACATATATCCAAATCTAATAATGTCAGTAAATTAACTCGAAACTAACTGTAAGTATTCTTTCTGTAAATAAAATAAATGGATACATATTATAATATTTTTATTAATTTGGAAACTGGTGCAAATATTCTTAAATTAAATTAATACAATTTTAATTTCATTTGTTTTATCTATCATCCTTAAGGTTTTAAAACGATGATGCAGAGTTTGAATTAAAACATTTGTATTTAGACGCACAGCCCAAACCGCTAGAAAGCCCACTAACACAAAATGGTGTATCATTTAGTTAATATATTGTGTAAATAATTTAATAAATTTTTATGTTATTTAGTTAAAGTACAATAGGACTGACATGTTCAAACAGCCTCAAAGCTTCCTGACCGTTTATAATAGCCTTGTCCGTAGTATTCTAGAATACGCTTGTGTCATTTGGTCTCCCTGCTACACGGTGCATTCGGATAGTATAGAAAGCGTCCGAAAAAGAATCCTTAGAATACTCAGCTACAAATGTGTTCTTGGTCGCAGTCTTGTCGATTATAGTGAGAGACTCGACAAATTTAATATGATCTCTTTACTTATTCCCCGTAAGGAATATGACCTTATATATTTACATAAAATTCTCCACAAAGAGATCGATTCCGGTTACCTCTTAAGTAAATTAAACTTAATTACAAAGCGCAATCCCCGAATTCCTAGCAAGACATTTTACCTGCAGACTTACAAGAATAATACTTCTTTTAAACTCGATAATAAGAATGTGTCGACTTTACAACGAGATATCCATGAAAGACTCCGGCTTGGATATTTTTGACCCAAGATCAAGGATATTCAAAAGAGCAATAGAGCTTACAGTCATCACACTCATTCACATATCACATAGATTTTAAATTTGTTGTTTGTAAAAAAATTTTTTGTATTATGTAGTTAATGTACGGCATTAATATTGTTAATATTGTTAAGCGTAGATTTGATCTCCCCTGTAGTAAAATATGTAAATGATGTGTCAACATACTTAGGAAAACAATCTGGCACAAAACTGTTATATATACATATGTATGTATGTATAATTTTTAATGTATTTTGATTGTTATCTGTTTTGTTGTCCATATAATAAATATGTTAAAAAGTAACAAAAATCCCTAAATTAAAAAAGGTATTAAAAATATTTTTTTAAAAAACGTTATTCGAGACTATATTCGATGTAACTCGAGGATGGGTAAACCATTAAGATAATCAGGATTGTAATAAGCTCATATATACAACTTGAAGATGGTCATTAGAAACAGTCACGTAAAACCAACCTACATACCAACGGGATGACAAAGCTTTATTTGTTAAAATTAAGTATATAAGAATTGCAATATTTTTTATAAAACATCCTGTCTAATTTTAACCATCGCCACGAAACTTTCATTTAGCCAACGTTCTCCACATCGTAGTTTGAAATAAAAATTTAAGATTTATAAAAGGTCTTATACTGCCTTATTCTTTAACACTCAGTATCTGGTGTTGTTCACCATCTCGCCGTTAAGTTTCATCACGCTTCGTTAAGACATTCCACAGATTAACTCGGACAGACAAACACACAAAAAATTAAAAAAATGGTTATTCATGTCTTTCTCAAAGCTTACTAAAACGTTATTAGTTCCTCATTCACCAAAGCATTAAAGTTAAAACTTTAATTGCACATGAATTCCGGTCGAATTTTAACCACTCGAAACTATAGTACGTAGTACTATTATTTATTCTGTGACTATAGTCATATTAAAAGTATTACTCGTAGTTGCGAACTCATCAAGTTACACTTTTATTATTTAAGTGTCAATATTGTTTAAGTGTCAAATAATTTAAGGTATAAGAACGAAAGTGCAATATCAAAACACTAAAAATATTTTTTTAAATTGTTAGAAATATAATAATTAAAAAATAAGTGAAAGTTATTTCATTCTTTTAGTTTTTTTTTTGGACTCTCTTTTAACGTGTTCTGTTTAATTATTAAACATGGTATATTTCACTTTCATAAATTATTTTAAACAAAAAATTACGTTTTATTGTTTGAAATAATTTTTATATAATATTTTTAATTATTCTTAAAAATCACTTATTTATTTACTTGTCATAATAATAAAATGTTAATAACAATAAAAAATATATTATTACGAGTACCATACAATCCTACTTCCCGCGATGTAAGTAGTTAATGCTTTTGTTGCTTGCTGGTTTAAATTTCTGCTATTAATTTTTATATAAAAATGCTTACCTACTATAAAAAATATGTTGTAAAACATTATTTTTGTTAACTTGAATTGTGTTAATAATCTTTGAAAAACTTACAACCAAATTAAAAAATTAAAAGATTAACAATATTTTTCACATAATTACTTCTGAATTCAAGGCTTTAATTCTTCAAATACACTATGTCGTAGCATTAACTTCAGAAGATATTAACATGTAAATATTAATTTATTTAATCGATTTTAGTACTATAAACTCATTGTAAGTACCTATTTTTGTTCCTAATTTTAAGAAAAAGATAAAATGTATTTTATCGCTTAATTTTTCAATACTTAAGTTTTTTTTTTCATTTTTAGGTGACAAACGAGCACAGGCCACCTGATAGGAAGTGGATGCGGTAACCCGTAGACATACATACATATTATCCTTGATTAAGAATCTAAATACAGATGCTTTGTAACCCCTAAGGACTAAGATGGAATCCCTCGTTTCATATAAAAGGGACTCTGGTTCTCTACACTCACCATAGGAAACACAGCAGCATTAAACTGATATTTTACTCTGATATTCTGTGAGACCGTCGTCCTACCCTGGTTGAACCGACCCATTCGTGCTATAACTATATAGTTGCAGCGTGGCTCTCCACGTAAAAAGTATATAAATGTAGTTTTATATTTTGTTTTTGTAATTTTGTTAGAAATTTAAAATAAACTTAAATGGCAACGGAACGAGATCGTCTGATATAAATGCAGGTCACACTCGTGATTGAAAAAACAGAAAAATAGCAGACGTCATAATCATAAGCGTCATGTAGTCCTTTTATAAATTTTATTCTCACAATTCACATAAAGTAAACAAAACGCCTTATATACACACACATAAATACATAGACATAGATACATAGACACATTATACGTATATTCAGTAATATTAAATATATTTGTGCAAATAATAATATAATAATAATAATAAATTTATTGACATATTATAGATTTAACAAATGTAAGCAAGGACAGTAAGCTAAACATCTAAACAATGTTCAAGGTGAGATATACAAATATTTTCCGTTGGACCCCAAACTAACCCCAAATTCTAAATAATAAAACAATATTTTTTTACTATAACAGATTTAATAAAATGTATATTTTATATTTATAGAAACTTATTTATAGAAAAGCACTTTGTTCCAAAAATATATAAAATTGCAAATAAAATTTACTCCATGAAATGATTTTTCTGAATACTTATTTAAATTAATCCAGTAAAGCGTTAAAATGTGTTTTAAACCGAGAATGAATTGACAAAATATTAATGTAAAATAAATACATATTAACAACAGCGGGCTTACGCTGAATGGCTTGTTCTACGAAAGCTACGAGTTACGAACGGCTACGGCACCGTTACGTAACTGCAATGTGCTAGCGAGATATTTATCACAATGTAAGATAAAAAAGTTTTGAAAAAACTTAAATACCTTATTCATTCCATTTCCCATTTTGGCTGGCAAGACGTTTTCTTAACACAAAAACGAGCACTAATACATTCCTACCAAAGTAAAAGCAAAACTTGCAAATATTAAATATCATATAATTTAAACACCTTAAACATAATCGTATCTCACAAAAATTGTTTTAAATAATTCACTGTCAACTTGTCAACAGTAACGTCACTATGGCTACATTGTTGACACCGGTATCAGAATGAAGAATGAACCGGTATTCCACGCGTTGTAATTCTATCGAAGTATATACATTGGCACCTAGTGTAATATTGTATATCATTTAACATACATGCGCAATATTATTAGGCATTGCAACTGATTACTTTATTTTCATAGCGACTTTAAGTGATCGATCCAATATTCTAATAAATGAATCGTAGTGTACTTATAACCTCGGAATAACGCGTTTTAAGTACAAAAGACGTGCAGCGGTATCTGCCTGCGACGCGCCACTGCCAGACCAGACGTCACTGCGTCTGTAAGCTTATGTAGTGATGTCTCACTGCCTAGTAGCTACTAAACATATCGATAATTTGCGACTGTAGAACACTAAAACTTCAAGAAATAATAGCTTTCATCGCAACGCAGCCATTAATGTTTTTGTTTTCATAACATATCTTTCTCTTTTATATATACCTAATTATTTCATCATATAATATGCCCGAAATCAGTCGTGTAATTCAGTTCACCCATACTACCAACTGCCCATTTGGCTTTTTTGTGACTTCTAAAAACTTAATATTTTTTGGTTCCAAAAAGTTAAGTACTACTTGGATATAGTCATCTCCCATAACAGGGAAAATTTGCTATAATCGCCACGCTAGTGAGACGGATTGGAGTACAAAACGTCTTACACATTTGACGCTGCTTCCCGTCGATGGTCTGGATATTTTATGTGTTATAAACATATAATACTATAATACGCAATAGAATGGCTGTCAACCTTATTTTGAACGAGGATCGGCGTCGCTGGGAGCACACATACAAGCAATTACGTCGTATTATCACTACTACAAACCCGATTCACTGTGTTGACAGACTGAGTAAACTTACACATTTTAGACTTTTGATTAATGTTCAAGGTCATCATTAAAAAATCGTTTAAATTTTAATACATATTTATTTGTAAATAGTGTGTAATTTGGTATTTTCTAAATAATTTATTCTTAATAATTTTATTAAAGTATATTAACAATGCTCTAAGCATTACTAATATTCCCCTTAACCACTCGTGGTAAGCTTAAATTGCTTGTGTTACGAATGCTTCACGCCAGTAGACGAATGGCGGATTCGAACCCACGACATTTTGGAGTTCGCGGTCCGCACCCTGCCATTAGGCTACTGTCGCTTCAAGTATTTTTAATTTGTATGCGAAATTTGGAACCGATTGTAACGTCAAAACACGTCTCGTGTTGACATTTATACGCGTGAATTGACATGTTTAAGACATTTTAGTGGCTACACGAGCTACGCCTTCTCCCCCGTTCAATTAAAATTATAATAGAATATTATTAATGTTAAAATTGAATTATTATAGTATTATAATATTCTATGGTTATAAATACGACATTGTTACTAGTATTCGTTTATCTATTGTAAGTCACAGAGTCACAGATCTCTAATGACTTCCACGGGATAAGACATCTAATTAAATCTTATAATGGTATCTCACAAGCCTTGATCATTTTTCATGGCACTTGCGTCATTTTTGTCAGAAACTAGTTGAGTATATTATTTATCATATCTACCTTATGTATATTAATATAATTCTTATAACTAAATTTTCGCAGTAATTTTATTCAAATGTGTGTCTTCAATCTTTTTAATAAGTTAATGGGAAAAAACGAAATAATGTATTAGGACGATTCTACTTTATTTAAAATCAACGTTAGAATTATCGTCGGATAAATTACATTATCGATAAAATGTCAGTCGATATTTTCACCGTGTTCATTTCAGTCGGGCCTTACATATATTGGATTCTTACATATGAAATTAGCGTTTTGTCGTACTGACCAATTTGATCTGAAATATCTCCTCTTTGGTTAAGAATTCCAAATTCAAATTTATAAATTCATTTAGCTGGTTCATTTAAGTTTTAGAAACAGTAATTCATTTGTTTTTCCCTCATTATTTTTTCTCAGGCGTCGCTTATTACCGCACAATGGAAAACATGAAATATCGGTATATTTACGAGTACGCGTTCTACCGTAGCACCAGTGCTGCAGAAACAGCTCGAAGGATTAATGTGTACGGCGCTGGTGTCACAAAAGACAGCACGGTACGTTTTTGGTTTCAACGTTTTCGTTCTGGAAGTTTCAACCTTCAGAACCAACCGCGTTTACTGCCGGAGACCAAAGTGGAAAATGAAGAATTAAAGGCTATTGTGGAAGCGGATCCATTACAAAGCATTTCAGAGATAGCTGCAGGCTTCGGGGTAAGTGATAAAACTGTGTTAATCCACTTGAAGCAAATCGGGAAATTAAAAACTGGAACGATGGGTACCTTATGAATTGAGTGCATCGAACTTGCAACACGCGTCGACTGCTGTGTCACTTTGCTCAAGCGACACAAAAATGTAGGGATTTTAAATCGAATCATTACTTGAGATGAAAATTGGATATTGTACGACAAACGGAAGCGCTCGTCGCAATGGCTGAAACCTGGAGACCCAGCCAAATCCTGCCCTAAACGAAAATTGGCTCAGAAAGGGTTACTTGTCAGTAAACACTCATGGTGGACTAGCGAAGGTGTCGTTCACTACAGCTTTCTAAAATCTGGCCTAACGATTACGGCAGATATCTATTATGTTGAAGAACTAGCCGCTAAACAACCGAGATTGGTCAATCGCTCTAGGCCACTGCTGCTTCACGACAACGCAAGACCACACACTGCACAACAAACAACCACTAAGTTAGGTGAGCTACAATTGGAATGTCTGCGACATTCACCGTAGTCCCCGGACTATGCTCCAACAGATTACCATTTTTTCCGGAATTTGGACAACTTCTTACAAGGAAAAAAATTGAACTCCGATGCGGCAGTCCGAACCGCCTTCAAAGAGTTTATTGATTCTCGTCACCATGGTTTTTTTTAGTAAAGGGTTCAATGAACTACCTATGAGATGGCAAAAGTGCATAAATAACAACGGTGCATACTTTGATAATTAAATATATTTTACAAAAAAAAATTGACTTTATATTGCTCCCGTACAAAACACCAATTTCATAAGTAAGGACCTACTATGTGAAAAGATATATGAAGAGGCAAAAAGATTGAAATATTTTTTAGATAATATAATGTTTTATATGAACTTTAAAGTGTATAATATTGCTTAATTTTATAACGACATATAAATTTAAAACGACTACTTATTTTAACAATATATCATACGTAGGTATGGCAATGTCTTTTTGACATTTAAAATAATACGCAATGTGTTCTCATTTTTTTAATATCCACGAATTTATATAATTATATACTTCGTAATACGTAAGGTTTAAATTTAATTATTTATACTTAGATACTTGTATGACAAACGAAGGGGGCAAACAGTCAATCGTGAAGGCAAAATGTCCTTCAGACTTATTTTTAGTCACGGCGGTCTGCGGAGTCTGCGCAGGACAGGATTATAGTACCAGAGTGTATCTGAAAACACAGGTGCACTCTCTGATAATCCTATGGGACATAATCCGACACGACCGGAGAGAGATCAAGTCAGACGAAGAACCAACGGCTTTACGTGCTTTACAAGACGAGAGGATGAAACAACTGCAACTTCCTCATTTCGCACTGCTAGTAAGAATTTCTTAACAGAAATTCGAAAGTAAATTTTTGCTTGATGATTGATGACACAAACCCAGGACCACATGACTAGCAGTCCCAATTCAACCACTAGACAAACGAGGCAGAAAGAGGAAGAGAACATAGTAGTACCTAACTATTATATGTTATTATACATCTAATACCGTATACCGTATAACCGTCAGTTAAACAGATCAGTTGAACCGATCAGTTCAAACTAATGTAAGCCAAAACAATTTCTCCACTCACTGCACTGGCTTCAAATTTCAATTTAAGATTTCACACTCACTATTGGTATTTAGATGTAGATACGTCAGTTCAACTGATCAGTTTAACAGACTGTGCGCCCGGAAAAATCCGTGGGTTGTCGTCAGTTAAAAATTTCAGCTTAAGATCAGCTCGCGGTCAGTTTTTGAATATATGTCAGTTCAACTGATTAGTTTAACTGACTGTGTGTGTCGAGCATAAAACGTTTTAAGCAGTTTTTAAATTTTATTATTTCTGCGCCTATGTATTTCTTAATGTTTATTTTTACAGGTGTTTTCAGAGCTAAGGCTAACAAAGTTTTAAAAATCTTTCTGCACGTATTTTTATATAATTAACTAGCTTGCCAGGCAGACGTTGTTCTGTCCTTTTCGACGACCCTTTGTCATGTCGTATTAAAAATCCTTAAATTCGCAAAAAAAAAACTGTGGACAAAAAATATATCCTATCTCTCACGGTGTGAACCAAACTGCACACGGTGTGCAAATTTGATTAAAATCGGTTAAGTAGTTTAGGAGTCCATCGCGGACAAACAACGTGACACGTAATATATATATATATATATATATCTAATCGTAATAATATCAATCTCGAATATCTTAATATATATATATATATATATATATATATATATATATATATATATATATATATATATATATATATATATATTAAGATATTCGAGATTTACGTTACGTTATCCTCTCGAATTTTTAATCTAAATTTTTGAGCTTGAATTGCAACTTTGTGTACATTATAACCATAATGTACGTATATGATTGGGTCATCCATACTCTCTTTCTCTCACTCGCTCACTCTCTCTCTCTCTCTCTCTCTCTGAATGTATGTATTTTAGATCCTCCTCCTGTGACAATGTGTGGATGGACTATTGAACAATTCCACTACACAGATAATTATACAAAAAA